CCCGCCCCCGACGCCCTCGTCTCCCGCCCGAATTTACCTCCGTCAGCCGTAACTTTTGCACGTCCGCCGCGCTCTCTGCTCAAAGAGAATCGATTGCCAGCCGCTGCAGAGAGAGATGGCGGTATTCCAGCAGAAGGGAAGTCGGAATGTGAGGATAGCAAAGTTTCACAGATTGCTACCCTTGTCCTGCTAAGAAAAGCTCTTCTTTTCTCCGATTTTTGTTCAACTAATAAATGGCATTGATGCCTGCCTTCTCATAGGTTTGGGGAGAGTACGCCGATTTCTGGGTAAGTGGGGAGGAAGTATTGTGTGTCTCTTTTTGACATAATGTACTGATAGTGAAAGGGCGAATATAGCTCTAATGACTAATAAGAAAATAAATGCACTTGGTTCTTAATATTTTCAGCATAAGACTCGTTTTTTTCTTAAATCGCACACTGCCTCAATATTGTGTGAACTCTGATAGGAAATCTGAAAGTTTCCAGATAACGAGTTGCTTTTCTCGGAATGTTGCTTGTGGCCAAATTTGAACTTACGAACTTTTATCTTCGGCGACTTTGGTTAGGTTCGTCAAATTTAGTTCGTTTGTCAACAGCCGTGAAATTAATCGACAAGCAAAATAATGTCTAACCTGACGAATCTTAAATTTAACTATTCAGTATTATAGATCTCATAATCTGTATACAAGAATCAGGGGTTTTGATTTTCAAGAAAAAATAAATGTATGAAATCTACTAGATTTTTTTGCCATCTCTTTCGGAACGCGGAAAATGTTCCTTTTGCGTGCTACACCTGAGCGGCGGACAAACTGTGATTGCAGCAGTCATTGATTTGCTGATATGCTTTCGTGCGCTGTCAAAACGATCTCGTAAGAACCCTTCACTATAGAGGAATTTCAGTGCAGGAAACGACGTTGAGAGAGGCGGTGAGAATGCTTGGTACGTTTCGCCTTCGTTCTCGTACTTCGTTCTTGAACCCCGAACTAATGATTTATTCGTCTAAAGTGGCAAATGTTATAATACGCTTCAGGTACGTACTTTTTTCTGCATTTTGAGGCCAGGTCGCCCTGTAACACCATGTCCCTGATACTGGGCAGAATCAGAGATTTCTTATCAATCTTCAGAATTATGGGTATTTTGTAGAATAAATCTACTCCAAACTCCAAAGTAAATTTTTAAGTTGTAGGTATTGAAATATTGCATAAACGATGCGATATCTTATTAAATTGTACAAATCTTCTCCGAAACGTACTTTCAAAAATACTGATCTACCAGGAACATCAATATGATGGCATCCAGAGAAAATATTTATTCCAATCAGTTGAACACTTCTTTGAAACTTTTTTATAATTTATTTAAACTACTGCATACCTTACAAGAATTGTCAAAAGAGACAGGGAGAACATTTTTAATGATTTCATTTCATTTTGTTATTAATACGTTTAATATCAAATTTAATTACGAATTTGTCTGCAATATGTTACAAATTTAGTCTTCAAGAAAAAAAAATCGCCAATAATATTTATAATCGCAACTCAGGAATGAGACTCGATTCCTCCTTTTCGAAGAGTGGCAGCGAACAATTTTTGAGAGTCAAACTTGTTTCTACGAGGAATTGGTGAACCATTACAAAGGATTTTATAAATTATATTATATGCACAATAAAATGTGTGTTAATCATTGCCTCCTGTAACACGTTCTTCGGAAGTAAATTATTACGTCACGAAGAACTTTAACCACCCCCTTCTTCTATTTTGCATATGTTGTATTTCTATTATGATTTTCTATTTGTTTTGTGCGTGATGAAATCAGTAGAAGAAGCACTTTCGTGATTATAACCTGGTCCTGTATCCGCGAATTTACTTACGTCATGGAACAGGACCTTCAAACACAAGTTGAAGCGGGTGAAGATATTGTTCGCCTACATGATATTGTTCTCGGTCCAACACCTGCGTGCTGCCAACTTGACTGCTTGCACGGGAGGGATCCCTTTTCACGGAGAAACGCGACTACGTTTCCGGTGCGTCATGCCGACTGGGCCTTGGACAATGAGTGTCCACAGCGGCGCGTATTGGCAGTGCACGACACACTGTCGGGTAAGGTGCGTGTGCTTAGCGTGGAGCGTGTTGCAGCTAACACGCTCGCCAGCTATGGGTAACGTCAACATAAGTCGGTTCTAGGAGCATTGCCATGCCGTGCAATGTGGAAGAACGTATTAGAAAATGATATTAGTGTGTTAGAAACGAGAAACTTTGTGAATATGTTAGCCTTAAGAATTATTAATAGGATTATTTTTATAATTAAGCTTCGAATTATGAACAATACTAGGATTTTAGGCAAATGCCTGTTCTAGCTTTTGACGTTGACTCTCGAGAATTAATTTTGAACACATTGAACACCTTTCATTTTCAAGAAACCACATTTACACTGCCTACGCGCCTGAGTGGATAACTGGTTAACTTGCCGGCCTCTCAGCTTCCCCACATTAAATGATCCGGATTGCTCTGGCTGCTCTTTACATCCAACGAGGCACATTTAATGTAGTCTACAACTCCAATGGGAAAACCCCAGAATGCAGCTTCGATTCTGGGTGGGGTGCATGGATTTTTGAAGGGCTGAAAATCCACACAATCCTGTACGTGTCGTATTTGTGTAATATGAAAGAACCCTGGCTAAATCCCGGCAAAATTAAATATTCCGATTATTCAAGTAAGTGGATAAATACATTTCTGAGGCCAATTCAATCTTGGCGGCTAATATGGAAGTGCAACTTTACTGGTAAACCAGCATTGGGGGTGAGCCAATTAATGAATCCTCAAGTGAGGGGCACTAAACGTTTACACGGACTAAAATGACTATTTTAGCATTATAGCCTAAAACCCCTATTCATCCTGTAAAAGCTTAAAATATCTATTCCGTAGTGTAAGTAGAGCGGCGGAAAATCAACTCAAAAGCTTCATAAAGAGAATATCTAACGGAGAATGAAATCCGTATTAAATGTTCCGGATTGCCGTGGCTGCTCTGTGCATCGAACGAGAGAGATTTAATGTAACCTACAACTCCAACGTGCAAACGTTTGTTAAAACAGACTATTCTCTGGTAATAAAATGATTGTATGTGAAAAAAGGCGTAGCTGTTTTAACATTTACACTTGTGTGTTCATTTTAATTTTTTACGCTCAAACTTTCAGTACAACCCTTTGAGATGCAATAAGAAGCACTTTTCATGTTATTTTCATGGCGATTTACTTCCCTGCATAATTAAATTATACTTTAACTATTTTTCTCTTTTTAAAGGCCTATTTTAAGCGTGAAAATTATACTTGAAAAATTTCGTACTCCCGGTGGAAAGGAAATGTAGAACATATGCAATCGAGTCAGCGCTGACGCACGTGGGGAATGGTTATTGGTATTAAATTGTTGGAAAACAGTTTAATTTAGATGTAGTGGGATGTATTCTAGAAGATTTAATTGTAACAAAATGCGGACCAATGTTAGAATATTTTACAAAATATTTCAGGAGGACAAGTAGTGAAAGTAAGTTGATAATAATAATTTTAGTATTTATTATCAAAATTTGAAATTTATAATTTTAAAGAGCTCAGTCATTGAGGTTTTTATGATTGACCATTTTGAATTGGTTTCAATACTGAAACACTCAACTTAAAGTTAGCACTCAAAGTGAAATTTGAATACATTTCAATTGATTTTTTGTGAGGATTATCCCAAGACTACGAAAAAATCCGTTTATGCTCTCCCCGGAAAATGTGTGTGGGGGTCCACACAAACGGCTGAGCCTATTGGGGTCAGCAGTGTATTTTTGGCTTCAGTGAAGGGACATTTTGTTGTAAAAGGTTATTCCTAATTACCAAACAAATTTTGCGTGAAAATTATACTTCAATATTTTTTTAAACAAGTCCTGAGCTAGTGTAATTTTGGGTGTGGATTAAAAGAAGTATAATTTTTCTTCAAGCATATCACTTAATTTCCCCTGGCAGTTAATTAATGACACTTGAGAAACATTAGCGCCACTTCCTTTACTTTCAATTGTGCGCTCAAGGAATTTATTTCATAGTTATTTAGTATTGAGTAGGATTTGTAACACTATATAGTATCCGAAGGCAGCTTGTACCACTTGTCGAACAAACTTTGCTCTTCTGTTGTTTTAAATTATACTTTCAGGCGAATATGTCTTGCAATATATTCTTATAATGTGTATCTTGTTTTCCATTTAATTGATGATTAGTCATTTACTAAACATACTTTTTAAAGTATAAATGCTGTATTCAAGAGCAAAAATTGCCGTTGCTCTTCGTTTCGGAGGCAAGAGGAGAAATTCACTGAGAACCACGTAGTAAGGAGTCCCACCATACTTGATAAATCAGTTGGATGTAGAGGTATCTCAATCACGAAGATTTAAAACAAGGCCCCGCTCGGACTTTCCAATATTGGGATCTTAATGATCTTTGATGGATCTGAGTAGTTTTTCTGAACTAGTAAAAATCAAACATTCTTCCGGCGGTCTAAAATGCAATGATAAATATTAATTTACGTGAATTATTTCACAGATGTTTTGGTGTATCTAGTTTGTTTAAAAAATTTGCACCTGTAAATTAAGTATCTTAAAGACACGTTTAACCTACGAGGTAAAAATTGATTACCACTAAATTATTGATGTGTACCTGACGTCTGGTTGATGGTTTTTTTTTCATGAAATATGACACGGATTGTAGAAGGTTCACGGACGATCATGTAGGATGCGATTTGCCGTTGCCTTCCACGTCCCAATCAGAAGGAACTGCTGTAAACAAGAGTTCGAATCCACATTGGTTCCCTGCATTGCGACTTCCACCGCAAACTACTGCCCCCCTGGGGGTCGGCGATAAACAGACCACTTCGTGAAATTGAAGTAAAGCTTTGTATCCACCACCGACAGAAGCATTTCGCCTAAACCGAGCATCTCGTATGTTTTTTGTTCCAGAGGCGCCGGCGAACCCTCCGCTCGCCACCACGCTCTCCCCGGGCAGCATGGCGGCCGGCGGCGCGGGCGGCGGCGGCGGCGGTGGCGGTGGCGGAAGCGGTGGCAGCGGGGGTGGGGGCGGCGGCGGGGGCGGTACCAGCCACGCCGCCGGCCACTCCCACGGCCACCGCCGCCAGGAGTCCATGTACGCCATGACCGGGCTGTACTCGGAGACGGCGTCCGTGGACGATGATTTGGGCGACTCCAACGCCACCGTGACGACGACGGTGAGCGGCGCGGGCGCGGGGCCCACCACGTCCGGCGCCTGCTGCCACGAGGCCGCCGGCATCAAGTGCCACAGCCGCAACCCGTCCTCCGGCATCATGGACAGGTAATAATAGTAATAATAATGATAATGATGATAATAATGGTTGATAATGGTTGATAATAATAATGATAATAATAATAATAATAATAATAATAATAATAATAATAATAATAATAATAATAATAATAAACGTCTCGTTTCCTGGAGACAGCTAAACCTCCAAGGAAATGATCAGAGGATTGTTTCAGGGAGCTAGGCCCTTATGGTTCTCCTTATCTCTGAACCCTCTCTGCAAAATGTTAACGAGATTGGGCATAGGAATATGAAATCACTAAAAAACCTAAATACTTATTAATTATCAATTTTACATGGGCGATCTCAAGTTGTACGCCAGAGATAAAAACCAACTTACCTCGTTGTTTGAACTTGTTAAGTCCTGCAGCTATTTCCATTTAGTTTTGCTTTGATAAATGAGCTGCAATACACGTAATGAGAGGAGGGAAATCCTTCATCCTTCACGTAAAGCGATTATTGTCGAAGTAGCTATCCCGTTAGTCTGAAATACAGCTGCCTCCATCGCCTAAAAGAAGCGGAAATATCAGGCCTTGGCTCTTGAATTGGGCGACCTGTGGCGGGTGGTATCCACTGAGGAAGTTCCTGCGGTAATCTCTGCAGAACTAACTTCATCAAGGCCTAACCTTAAAAACTGGCACATTCAGTCCATGCAAAAAGGGTGTTCTCCTTAGCGCGCATCGTGTGGAAGTTTTTAATGATTTAGCTTCACTTCGATTTCTGACCGCCCGAGTTTGCAAGCGAAGCAGATTTCTTGGTTCCCAAAAGGTCCCGGTAGCTGCTGTAAAATACCTCCCTGGGAAAGAGACTTGAAAATAATAATAATAATAATAATAATAATAATAATAATAATAATGATAATAATAATGATAATAATAATGATGATGAAATAATGATGATGTATGATAATAATTAATAATAATAATAATAATAATAATAATAATAATAATAATGTCTTTATTAATGGCGATGCTCAGGCTAGGGCGTGCTCTTCCGTCTAACCACTTGAGTTTACCTTTATACAGACCAGTAACCTGTACATTTACGGCTGGGAGTGCAAAACTAGGAACCATCCCGGCATACGCCTTAAGCGATTGAGTAAGCCCAGAAAACCTCAATCAGGATGGCGGCTTAGGACCGAACAGTGACAGGTGATGGTCGCTCAACCGGCGGTGAGAAGCGCGAACGGAAGCGAGTCCACCACTCAAGCGGCGCTCTCCCGAAGGTCTCTAGGTTCGAATCCCGGATGGTTGCTGATCTACTGGGACGCGTATCTACTAACTGGAGGCGAGAAAAAGCCGCTATTCTGAACCAAATCCTAGATATTGTTTGCCGGGGTCGATTATGTTAGTTTATTTGGTGGAATTTTAAGATCATTGCGCATATGCATCCTCGCTAACGAATTGCATGCTGAATCCTTCTCATCTTTGTCCTCCAAGTACTCGTCATTCCTCACGTCTCTCTACACACACACTCGTTCACGCCCTAAAAACAAAGATACGCAAGCACAACCCAGATTGTGGAAATAATCCTTGTGGAAAGCCTCTCGAAAGATTTTTGAAACGAATTATCGGCGAGGAACAGGGTTGGGACCATGAAGATTGATAGTTTTGAGGAACTGTGCGTTGCACCTAAGTAAGTTGGGTTCGTGCTAACAGACCAATTAGCGTAATATGTTCAATGATTCTCTGATCTAACAACTTAGGTAAAACATCTTTCTGAAGGCAAAGCTTTTTAGCTTCATGATAAGTTCACTTTTGCATTATTTTGCTGAGATTAAAAAAATGTATCATTAGTAATTGTTTTCATATTTTTATATTTCAATGTAAATTAATGTTATGGTCGTAACGTGTTGTTAGTTTATTCAATATATTTTAGGATGAGATATATTTAGACGAGATAACATTGACGGTTGTGAATAAAGGTTATCAAAACATTGTGTTGTGTAAAAAGTCTTCGTGGTTACTCCGCCACAGATAGTTACGTCAACGCAAATGTCTTGTACGTTTTCTCCTCACAAGTTGCTCGTAGGCGCCGAAAGACAATGGGAGAGGTGGCCCCTGCGGCAGCAGGTACGCAACCCGCGAGGCGCAGACGCTTACCTATGAATAGGATTTTGATGACACAAAACAATGCCAAAATGATAATTAAAATGCTCTTAAAATGCTTTGAAATTCCCTAAAAACAAATAACCACGACGTAATTGTTTTTATCTTAACCACTTCGGATGAACATTTGAAGCTGTTATATAGTTTACTGATTTAATCGAGCCTTTTGTCCAAGTGAACCCATCTTGCAAACTTTGGGTTTGGATTTTTCTTTAAAAGAAAATATGTGCCTTCATTTATCGCGAAATCGACCGAACATGGTGAATCGTTATCCATTTTGCATTTTGGAAAAAAACGTACGTGTGGTTTAGGCGCTAGTGGTGCTCACGGACTGACAGACACGAACGGGCATTTTGAAGAGGAAAAAAATAATTAAAAAATCGGTATCAGAGGACCCCAAAACGTGTATTTCCGTTAAAATCTCGATATCGATTTTGCGCTGCATTATATCATATATACGTATTATGTACCACGTATACTATACTACATATATTATTACTTAATACGTATATGGGTATTCATTCAGTCCATATACAGGAAAGTAAAACACTTGTATTTAAATTTAACTAAATTTAAAAAATGCAATGCCAGGAAAGTCGCACATTTAAGGCTGGTGGTGGTGGTAGTGGTGGTGGTGGTGGTGGTGGTGGCGGCGGCAAGGGAAAAGGATAATAAGGCTGCCTCCGTTTTTTCCATTTCTTTTGTGTGTTTTGGGAAATAATTACATTTTACTGAGGTTCATGTAATTCCAATCACGTGTGGCGGGTCTCAAGTGCACTCTACTTAATATCGAAAATAACACCATGAATAAATGAAAATAAATAATAAAAATAAAGAAAACGGAGCGAAGTGCGTAGCGCGCTCGATTCGCAATCTGGATGTCCAGGTTTGATTCCCGGGCCGGCCTACCTGACTGGGGTTTTCGTGGTTTCTCTCGGTCACAAGGCGAATGGTTCCAAAAAACCCCTCGAACTCCTCTCACCTCCCGCTTCCCCGCCTAACACTTCTTTGCCATCATCATAGCCCCTTCACCCCCTCATCATCATCTTATAATAATAATAATAATAATAATAATAATAATAATATTAATAATAATAATAATGATAATAATGATAATAATAATGATAATAATGATAATAATAATGATAATAATAATAATAATAATAATAATAATAATAATAATAATAATAATAATAATAATAATAATAATAATAATAATAAAGTCGGCCTCGTAGCGCAGACGGTTGCTGCAGCCGTCGTCTGTGCCGAGGAGGCTGCAGGTTCGAGTCCTACGAAGACATGGTCGTATTTGTGTCTGTCTCTTCACCTATCATCATCATCCTTTCAGCTCATAATTCACTTCAAGGCGTAACAACCTTGTTGTAATCCAAGGATACGGCTGAAAAGCTGATCATGGAAGAATTACACACGTTAATCGTGTAGCGTGGTCAGTAATGGCCTATACTAATGGCTAATAATAATAATAATAATAATAATAATAATAATAATAATAATAATAATAATAATAATAATAGTCGTAGTAATAATGCAGAGAAAATATAAATAGAAACATTTCTGCTGAAAAAAGTATTTGAGTGTATTCTCAAAGCCGTGTAATCCTGTAATGTGTCTTGGGAGGAGGGCTCATATTTTTGTCAACTCAAGAACGAGAAAGGAGTTCATATGCATTTTAGTTTTAATGTTACATTTCAAAGAATCAGTGAGAATTTTTGTTGAAAAGCTAGGCATTAGTGTACAATCAGCGGCGGAGGGGGGGGGGGTCTCCCTCCTGAAATTTCTTGAACCTATGTTTCTAAAAGCATGTAGTTTGTTGAGCAGAGGAATCTTGAAGTTTCCTATAACCACTTCCATTTCCACTTCCTGGATCCTAAGTCCCACTTCTCTTGCTCTTCTTCTTCTTCTTCTTCTTCTTCTTCTTCTTCTTCTTCTTCTTCTTCTTCTTCTTCTTCTTCTCCCCTTCTTCTTCTTCTTCTTCTCCTCCCCTTCTTCTTCTTCTTCTTCTCCTCCCCTTCTTCTTCTTCTTCTTCTTCTCCCCTTCTTCTTCTTCTTCTTCTTCTCCCCTTCTTCTTCTTCTTCTTCTTCTTCTTCTCCACCTTCTTTTTCTCCTCCTCCTCCTTTTTCTTCTCTCTCTCTCTTCCTCCCACTCAACCTCCCTCTCCCTTCCTACCTTTCTTTTGCTCTTTCTCCCCTTTACTGCTGCTTCAAGAGACATTTTTAACACCTACCTTCAGTTAAATTAACCAAAATATTGAAGATAGATCACTTCCCCAAATCCACAAGTATCTTCCAAACTGCTATTCTCTTATTACTCAAAAATGATTTTTTTCTCCTGCCTTTTCATTACCCTTCCTCCATCTCCCTCTCCTGAGACTGCAGCTGCATCCAGTATGGTTTATTCTTTAAAAAATGGTTAGAATAACTTGGATTAACGTTTGTTATCCTAAAAATAAGTGGTACATTATTGAAATTTGATAGATGTTTAAATGTTTCATTATGTTTAGTTTTATGTAATATTTTTTAAAAACAAATTATGACAAACATATCATAATTTCTTATGTTTATCTGTATAATAATTTTGTATTTCAGAAGTGAAAGGGATCGTGGCCATTCATCTTATGCAGATCATGCTCCAGCCATTCTCTTAAGAGATTCCAAGGACTGTGGCATTTTAACTTGCCGACCTGCATTCCTGCAGAGATTTGCTGGAATAAAAGTGAGTTTGTTCATCTCGTATCTCTCTGATGGCTTCTAATTGTCATTATAATGGTAAATGATTGTCACTAACAATGGAAAGTTTTCAAAGGGTGAAATGCAGATAATGTTTGAACAAATGTTTTATGGATGTGCATGAACTGCCAAAGGTTGAAAACCTGTGATAATAAGTACTTTTTTATAAAATGCCTGTGTACGTTCTATTGACTATTTTATTCCTCTTCATAATCACCATATGTTTGTCAAACAGTTCTGTCTGCTTTGCAAGGCCCATAGGAATCTTGGAGGTAAGGCAATGATAAGCAATGGACTTGGAACCATAAGTTGCTTAGTTATGCTGGTAGCCTCTTTAAAATCTGAATAAAGCATGATGACATATTGTTTAGTAATAGATTGGCTGTAACAACATAATATTCATGTATTCTCGTTTCTAAACAGAATTCATGCATCGGTCAACCGATTTTTTTTCAACTTTCAGAATCTGTGCTGCATGAAAATTGATGACGTTTTGTTTTTCATAACTCTTTTTGGTTCCATTTGCCAGTCTTCTGAAAAAAATAGTTCATGTCTCCTTCAGCAGCCTGCTCTGAATAAAATAACTTTTTTGCCTACATATAGCATTGTTTCCCAAAGATTTCAACTTGTTCATCATATTACATTAATGCTTATTATATATTCATTTGTTACAGGTTTTTGTGTTCCTGCTCTCCTTTTTGGTGACATTACAACAAGCTCTGAGCTCAGGATACATAAATTCGGTCATCACCACCATCGAGAAGAGGTTTGAGATCCCGTCCAGCCTCTCTGGGCTCATTGCGTCCTCTTATGAGATTGGCAATGTCATTACCGTGATATTCGTGAGCTATCTGGGTAGCAGGAGACATATCCCTGTCTGGATTGCAGTAGGTAAGACAGTAACACCATTAATATTACGTTTATTTGCAATTATATTGTATTCTAATTGACAAACATATTCCCAAAGCAATGCATTTCAAAGTAATTTACTTAGCGTTATTATTATTATTATTATTATTATTATTATTATTATTATTATTATTATTATTATTATTTTTATTAATGTCTGGACCCTATTTTACTATATATTATTTCCTTGCCAGACGCGAGCCTTTGTGTTTATATTGCTTTGATCCTCTCACAATCGGTTACTTTTCTTTCACCAGACCCAGTCTTTTTATATTTTTCTGACTGGCCATCTACTTAGTCAAAAATTTTCTGCATAAACCCTATTCTATTTTGTACATCCAAGTTATACAGTAAAATTTGTTTTTGCAGTAATCGATAGGGACACAGAAAAATCGGTTTAAAGAGGTTTCCGTTTTATGCAAGGTTGTCCATTTTTCACACTTGTGATATTGACGTTTCTGAAAGTACTAAATTACATTACTGTATTATAATTATCAAAGTACATTAACACATAACGTATTTATGGAGGAAATCGCCAATAAATGAATTTTAAATACTCTTCATTGCCAACTTATGAGTTGAAAACTACACACCTTACTGGCTGTACTATATGGACTATTTGCAGGCTCTTTCAACGCTCAATCCATCATATCCCAGTACTATGACTTCCTGATACCCTCGCATGACCTGAAGCAATGCGTATCTGATCGAGGAGTTATGATTTTTAACGCACAACAGGGAGGCGCGTGAATAGAAGCCATGCCCGTACACCTTCCCTCGCTCAGAATGTCAGGAGAGAGGGAATTCCCCTAAGGCCTTCGCTTTGAGAGACAAGGGACCCCAAGGTCGAATTCTACGCTGACAGTTGAAGCCCTTCTCCTTCAATATCCAGCTGCCACGACTAAATCGCGTATCATAGCGATAGAGAACTTTCACCTTAGATTTTCTATGGTGGCCGCTAGGATTCGCGAGTAGAGGAAGAAGCTTAAAGTGGTGAGGAGAGAGCCACGAGTGTAGCTCGTCTTCTCAAACCTAAAACATGAGCTAAATTAATTTTGTAGGGCTTTTGCGAGGTAGTGGAGAAACATCACTGTGCTATAGCATCACAATCACTGTCATTACGGACGTTTGCGTCATTTCCAGTAAAAATAACTTCTTGATATGGTGCAATATATCTTTGGGCGGCGAATCACACTCTCATTGAAACTGTCGAGAGCAGATTCCATGTTGTTCCTCATCCTCTCTTTATTAGGAGTTAAAAATGAACACGAATCTCCCGATTTAATATAATTAATCTCCTTACTCATTATGCGAATAAAAATTTGTAAAACATCCGTAGCAGCTGCTACTCCCTTAAGAACTGCTTGGACATTTATTAATAACTTCTTTTGCTTCTCTCGTCATAATAATAATCATTATAATCATAATAATAGTAGTCATAATTACAATTTATTATTATTATTATTATTATTATTATTATTATTATTATTATTATTATTATTATATTTGAGTCACGTTTACAGTTACAATCGTGTATGACGAGTCAATATGATGTCTTGGATGGAGAGAGCGAAGTTACATTACTGTTCAGAAGCGAAACAAGGGGCCACTTTATCTTTTGCTCAAGGAACCAGGGAAATTGAACAAAAAACCTGATCGAGATGAGTATTTATAAATTCATATACTTTTGCAACGACCTCACGTGTCTAACTGAGAAGGACTTCCTTATGCAATTTGCTCTGAACCGAACGAATTGCAATAATCACAAACTGAATTTTACACAATTTGCGAAAAGTGCTTCACTCTGGTGGGGAAACGCAACTGAAAGCTTGCACCTTGCGGAGACAAAAGGTCAGGGCCAATATTTACACAACTAGAGTGGGGCTGTCATCACGTGCTGGGAAGAGACGCGTCCCCCCCCCCCCAAACCGATAAGTGTAAGGAATGGACTCTTTCATCAACTCTGAGCCCACGACATTCAGCGGCCACGCCAAAATAATTTCACTGTAAAACAAGCTTGCAGATGCATTCATTTCATGAAGAGCATCTCGCGTCTCTGTGCGAATTGAATTAAATTCACAGGAATTGCGTCTTATAATGATTTTCCCCCTGCAAAACCCGATAAACCGTTCCACGTTGGAGAGGTTCCGTTTTGTGCTGTGTAAAATGCCATTTAATTTCACGGGCCGGAGAAATTTTTCGGTTAAGCCAGGTTCCCGGCTTGTATAGGTATATATTGATTTTGTTGTTATGACAACTTCTTTCACCGACAAAAGTAGTTCAGGGCATTAACTAATGAATGTCACTGCAGTGCCTCTGACCGAGAGGTCCTTGAGTTCGAGAGCCGACGGTGATAGGATTTTGAACATTTACGTAGTTAGATCGCTCAGAAGCTAGTCAGAGTTCTAGTGGCCGGTTGCTCTGATCGGTAGTTTCCCGTGGATTCTCCGATCAAAACCAGACGAATGCCGGTGCTCTATCCCAACAAACGGACCACAGACCGCGCGCACTTTTTGTCTTTTTCTTCCTTGACCATTCCTCACCCCTTCCTTCACACTCACTCACTCACGCTATACTACCCCACTCGCTCGCTCGCTCACTCACTCACTCACACTCACTCACTCACTCACACTCACTCACACTCACTCACACTCACTCACACTCACTCACTCACACTCACTCACTCACACTCACTCACACTCATTCACTCACACTCACTCACACTCACTCACACTCACTCACTCACTCACTCACTCACTCACACTATTCTACTCCACTCATCGGGAGCTTCGAGCAATGCCAATGTCTCAACTTGCCGTGCCACGTAGGTGCGAGATGAGATACTTCGTTAAGGGAAATCCCCACAAGCCGACGTAGGTCGGCGGCAGATCTTACCAGCCAGCGGGGGAAGATCACAGCCACATAAAACATGCATTACACTTATGGGACTAATGATCTTAGCAGCTGACGCGCCCGAACCACCTATCTATTAATCAATCAATAACCTCTTTCAAATCTTTCTGATATCTGACAACCACACTTATCGTTTTATAATTGTAATAAAATATGAAGAAAATAATTCGTTTCTGTATATATGCCTGTTATTTCCGATATCTTATATAAATAATGTTACTTTCGCTGTCTTGGAATTGAAATATACAATGATTAATATTATGTTTCAAGGTTTTCAAGATAATTTACCTGTTCAACAAATTAGACTTTTAGTTTTATTACTCCTTATTAATTGTAGAAACTAAAAAAAAAAAATCAGAAACAATGTCAACATAATTTGAAAATATTTTCTTAAAGTCTAGAAAAAATTGTTTCATTTTTCTGTGAAGATGAAGTTTATGATGTATTCCAAAGACAAAAAAATTACTTTGCATTATAAAATTGCATGTTGCTGAAAAGACAGTAGATTTAGATTTATTTAGTCAAAAAAACTGTAAAATCTGTATGGGACGTAGGGGGAAAATATTATCTGTACACGTTTTCTTGAGTTCCAGAATCCCTTCCCATCATTTTAACTATAAATTGTTGAAAGATGAGTAAAAGTTTAACATAAATAATAAAATAAATTTTAAAAATCGCAAGATTAGCAATATGTGAAAAATAGTCATTTTTGTTTCTGAGTCATAGAAAACTTATTTGCATCGGTACACGAATTGCAAGTTTGATTTTTCTGCTGTGCTAACAAAATAGCTATTCACCTTTACCTCTACTCTTACCATTACAAGCAAAAGGAGAGTTCAACAAAACGTGCATATAGTAAAGCTTCATTTACATCCAGAAGCAAAACAAGGGGCCATATCAGCATTTGCTCAATGGATCAGGGAAACTGAACAAAAACGTGATAGAGATGGGTATATTATGTGTATCCTAAGCTTCTGTCACCTGGTTTTTATTTCACAAGTTGCTATGTAATGCCCTTTGGTAAATTGAGGAAACTTTAACATCTGAATTTGAAACCTGTTTGTATCACACTGATTATGTTTCATTTTGCTTTTTATCGTTTCAGGTTCTGTGATAATGGGTATTGGGTCTGTCATATTTATGGTCCCTCATTTCATAGCAGAGCCTCACCTCTCCTCCACAATGACCAATACTTCTTCAGATAATATTTGTCGTGGAGTATCTGTTCGTGAACAAGATATGGGTCTTGGCAGACTCTCATCAGGTATGACATCACAACATTATATTTTCCTGTGAAATATAGGTTCCATATAATATGGAATAGATCTCAAAAGTACTTCTATAAGCTCCAACAATAATGAGGACTATTCATGTTTTTCTCACTTACATATACTGTATATTCATGGTTTATTGACTATTGTACAAATTTTTATACACATTTCTCATTTAACTTAAAAATGATGTATCTTTCAAAATAATTTTAAAATAGCTGGGTGCCTCAATACCCTGAAATGGGGTGTTTTGTATTTCTTGGAACCATTGAGCCTATTTTCTATCTTTAGTTTATTTGTATATGGTGAGAAACGATATGTGTAAATTTGTTGTTATTTGTGATTTTTAATACCTTTATCTCCAGAGTTCGGGGACGTTGATAATCATACTTGTAATTGGCGATAGTTAGTTTAGTAATAAAGTCTACCAATGACTATGAATTGTTTATTTGAAAAATATATGAGCAGTCAAGTCTGGTGTCAAGTTATGCTGAAAAACGTGTGTCTAATGACTTTGCAAAGATAAAGGAAACATACAGCTAGTTAGGCACAATTATAATCCTGATGTCCTACAAAGAGTTGTGAATGAAGTTACGATTGGTTGCTTGTTGCTAAGGAAAACTTCCTACAGATTTGCAATCTCACAATCAACTATCAAAGACAGAGTGAAGAACGAATATCCAAATGATGTGATCACCGCAACAGTTAGCCTCAATATAAGTCATAGGAATACACAAATTCTCCAACAATTTGTGGAAGTGCTGAATTTGAAAGATGAAACATTTGTAATAGCTAACTAACACAAGTACAAGAAAGGGAGTAAAATTCTCCTCAGACAATGTTAAGAAGTAGCTACAAATGTTGGAGTGAATATAGTTGATGTTAAGTTTCTCCATAAGTTAAACTGTAATAAAAGTATATTTAAGTTTCTAACTGTGTCTGATAGATACACCATTTCCAAAGGTTGAATTTTAGAGTTGCTACAATCCGCTAGGGAAGAGAGAAACAGATTCATTTTTGATGAAGACATTCTGTAACCAGTTATTGAAAAAACTATGTATTGATTAACTGATGTATTGTTTTTTATGCTTATCATAGATTATGCATGCATTAATGAATTACATTTTCTAGAATTTCTGAAAATGCCAATATTTCAAATATATATATATATATATATATATATATTATATATATATATATATATATATATATATAATATATATATATATATATATATATATATATTTAAATATTACGTAAATGTTCAGTGTCGGTTTGTTTTACACTATCATTAAAATATCTGTCAGAATTTCATCCCTCTTCAGTTATTATATTTTATTAATTATTATTTTCATTCACTTCTACAACCACTTGTGAATGGGCTGACACTAGGCACCTTGTTAAGAAGAGGATATGTCTCAAAATTCTAACAAGAGTGAAATATTCTACCAGCCAAAAAATTGGGTTGAAATAAATGAATTAATTTAGTTTTAATTTCACATAATTTAAGAATTACTATTCCATTTCTCTCTATTTTAAGAAATCTTATCAGGAATAACAAATTTCTTTTAACAGGTCTCTCGTCTCCCCCCCTCGCTCCTCACAACAACCTTCGAGTAGACAACTGCATCCAAGGTTCACCATCAACGGCTGGTCCTGTGATGTTATTTGTATTGGCGCAGCTGCTACTTGGTTGTGGGGGCTCCCCACTTTTCACATTGGGCACTACATACATTGATGACCATGTGCGCCCAGAGAGTGCCTCCTTGTACATTGGCTGCATGTACAGTATGGCAGCTTTTGGACCTGTTTTGGGCTTCCTCTTGGGAGCTTATTTGTTGTCATTCCATATGGATTCCCTATCTGGCTCTGTCATTTCAATTGGTATGAAAAAAAAGTGCTTATTTATTGTGTATCACTTATATATTATTTTGTTCCAAGAGAACAACTTAATCGTTTATTGCTGTTTGTAGATCCTGGTGATCGAAGGTGGGTTGGTATGTGGTGGGGAGGATTCCTACTTTGTGGTTTGCTGTTGATTCTGGTTGCTATTCCATTCTATGCATTCCCTAAGACGTTACAGGTGAGTTGAAGTGAGGCAACTTTTTAACTTTTTTTATTTGAGAACTTTTCTGAATTTAAGAATTTAATTTTTAAGTTACAATGATTCAATTTTTTATAAAGATAAAAAAAAACTCTTTACAAGTGAAAAGAAGCTCAAAACATATCAGTCTTGTAAAATGGAGTTTTGCCTTTCCTACTCTCGTATTCTCCTAAAGAATGAGTAATATAAAAACATAAACTTCTAATATGTACATAAATATTACATTCATAAGAAATAATAAAATATGTTCTTCGATTTCAACAATCTATCTGAATGAATAACAGGTATTATCAAAATTACCAAATCAATCTTCAGTATAATATCTGAAGCTTTTTATTTTTATTATTATGCTCTTAATGTATCTGTCCTAAATATCACATACTTTTTTTACTGTGTACATGATTTTTATTTTTATTTTAATGATAAATACCTTAAACTAAATTAAATCCTAATGGTCAGTTATGTTAAACCTAAAATTAAATTGTGTAGAACAACTGTATTGGGAAAAAAGTCATTTAAATTTCAATTGTAATTAAAACACTATTGGAAGAAAATTTGTAGTGTTTTCATATCATTGGATAAGAGTTTCTCATGTAATCGTTTCATTATTAGCTACTTAGTTACCAATTTTTTCCTTGCATTTCTTTCTTGACAGAGAGAAAAAGAGAAGATTCGTCTAATGGAAAAGTCTAGACCTGAACCTAGTAGGCCTCAGAAACCAGCTGATGTGAATGCCCCTCAAGGACAATCTAATGACACTGGATATGGAAAGGATGTAAAAGGTATGGTGCTAAAAAATAGTATGTTAATTGCAATAATGGGAAAACTGCTTTGAGGTTAATATATTCAATATGAGGTAATATTTTTTAATAATTTGAGTAAATATACAAAATATGTTGACTTTGAGATTCCTGCCCCTTGACACTGGATCTGCCTTTGTCTGAAGTACTCTGATTTTGAATGGGTACCTTGTATTATTGATGACTCTAGGCTGTAACATACTGAATGTGCTGTAAATCTGTTATGGACGTATGACACATTGAGTTAATCATTTTCTTTCACAGATATCCCTCGTTCAATGTGGCGCCTGGTATGCAATCCTGTGTATGTGGTGACATGTTTGGGTGCCTGTATGGAACTAATAATTGTATCAGGCTTTGTTGTGTTTTTGCCTAAGTATCTGGAAACACAATTTAGTCTAGGCAAAAGCCAAGCTAGCGTATTTACTGGTAAGTACCTAAATATTTTTCCTGACCATATATAGTGGCAACCTGCCAAAAATTCAGATCTGCAAAAAAGGAAAGTCAAATAAATAATACAGCCAACTCCAGTTATAGTGAATTTTTGAGGATTAACATTTTTAGGTCACTATATCCAAGGTTTACTATATCCAAAGGATATTAAAGTTAAACAGAATTTCTCCATAATTATTGATTTTATTAATAAAGAGATGTAGCAAAATACATTAACAGCACAAATTGGAAATATTAACATCTTTATTTGTCCTTAAAAAATCAATTTCTTTTCAATTGTTTGCATTGTACATTTTCATTAGTAATTTCTGTAGAACCACAATTTGTGCTCTCTCTATAATTGATTCTATATTGTCTCTGTGTCTAAGTATTGTAATGCATTCTTGACACCCTTGAATGCCCCTTGCGCTGTTGGAATAACATCCCATCTGTGAAAGCCCTTTTACTCACCTAAGAGATCACATAAGAGATGCTTTTAGTAGCAAAATGGTGCAAACGGCTAATGAAACTGAAAGTTTTTCTGTGGGGCACAGAATATATTGCCAGGCTGTGGCAGTCGCATGGTTCCTGTTGCTTATGTAGAACTCAATGTGCTTTGACCTGCAGAATATCAAGTACTGCCAAGATTGATACTGAAGTAAGCAATCATGTGTCACTGCCACTAATTGTGGCCCTCGTAGGACATGGCCTTTGTTTCTGCAGTGAAACTGAGTGGCATAAGGTCATCACTATGGGGGACACTACATCACCCAGTGGACACTACTTCTATTATGGCCCTATTATAGCGTGCTGACATTATTTAAAGCAGCCTAGTATTGAAATTTGTAACACAGAGATGATATATTCTTTTCCTAAGAGGGATTTAATTTCCAGGACATTGTATTTCCTTCGTTCATTTAAGCCGAGGTTCAGCTTCACAATAACCGTGTCTTCTTGTACTTATTTGTAATGTAAGTGAAATGGGACCAGTGACTTAAGTTCACTATAACTATAAATATATAGAGGGTTCACTATATCCGATTTCACTATAACCAAAGTTGACTGTACTATCTTAGTGCAAATATTGATTTTTTTCTTTTATTTCATTTTTGCTCATTTAGAATTTTCCACTTGCACAAATGTCTTCTGATGAGTGCTATTTCTAAAAATGTATCAAAATATATAGTTATAAGTTAATTTTTCTAACTGCTCAACTATTGCTAGCGTAGAAGTGATGAATTATATGTCAAAACATTTTCTTCAAAAATCCAGTGACACAACCAGAACATTTTTATTGGAGAGGGTGGGGAATTAGGTGTAATGGCCAGTTGACTTGATGCATTATCATATAAAATTGTAATATGCACTAAATTGTATTATGCAATCTTTTAAATTTGTTTTTATTTAGTATTAATTTTCTTTTTCTTTCATTTCTCAAAATGCACTTTCAAATCTGGTGATAACTAGATGACTGAAACTTGTGAAAGTCATTAAAGCATCCTTAGTCACTCCTATCTTACTAATTTGACCAAGGCCAACTTGTCCAACTTGCACTGCCTCAAGGGCATGGCTGCGGTTGCATGGTTGTGTGCCATAATTACTTAACTTGGGTCATCTACATCTGACTTCCCTGAATTGTTGATCTCCCCAATTTGCGCAGCTGCAGAGGAGCCAGCTGCTCTGAAATGGAAAGAGGAATGGAATCATGTGTGATATCAGACAGTACCTTTCATAATGCAGGGAAACAACTTGGGATGATTTTGATTTTGTGAAATGAATTGGAAAAAATATTAAATCTAAACTAAACCTATTGTTACATTAATGGGGTGTTGATCTCAGCAGGGCTAGGTACACAATGTTTTTGCCCAACTGAGAAACAAGGATGCTTTCAGTTTTGACTTATCTTTTGTGGACCACAATAAATAGTACCATGGGCCACACATGGCCCACACACCACCTATTGGACAACCCTGAATTTGACCAAGGCACAACCTCTCCAATAATGTATTAATATTTATAATTCACTTGAAAGAATGTAATTAATATGGAACTTTGAATTAATATATTTGGGGAAATTCATAAATTTGATTTAGAATATTAATGATGCTTTTGTTTTTATTTTTTATGAAGGATCAATTGCCATTCCTGGTGCATGTATTGGGATCTTCATGGGAGGATGCCTTTTGAAACGACTGGAACTGAGGCCGAAGGGTGCTGTGCAATTTGTACTTATATCCAACACTGTTTGTTTGGCGTGCTATGGCCTCTTGTTTTTCCTCGGCTGTGATAATGTTAAGATGGCTGGCACCACAATTCCATATTTTAACAGGTAGATTTTAAAAAATTTTATTATTGTAGAAGTTTCAATATCTTATCCTCAAATATTATTAAGTTATTTAACTTGTGAAATAAAATTCTAGGAAACAAGAGAAATATTTTTTTGTATTGAACATTATATTATAAGTTTAAATATTTTTACTGGGATTTTCTTTCTTACAGCTCCAAGCCAGAACCATTTCAGGTGAATTTGACAGCAGCCTGTAACTTTGGCTGTGAGTGTCATATGACAGATGTGGAGCCTGTATGTGGCAACAATGGCCTAACTTATTTTAGCCCATGCCATGCAGGCTGCACTGCCTTTTCATCTCGCTCAAACTACACCAATTGTGCTTGTAAGTAGCTATATAGAAATAAACATACAAAATCTACACTATGATTACATATGAAGGAATTTAAACAGAAAATTTAGCAGCAAGGGACCAGTGAACTACAATGAGAACAATGCTTCTCTCTGCAAATTCTCTCAAAATCATATTTCAGTTTAAATATGCTTCAATATTTGTCAACTAAAATGGTTGTGCCCAATAGGTGTAATAAATCTACAGTAAATGTAAAAAGTTTTGAATTTCAATATCTGTGATTTTAAAACATTTTAGTATTCATTAATATATTGCTAATTTTCACATTAATAACTTCAAATCTTAGATCTCATGAGAATTTAAAGCGTATCTCAATAAATATGACCAAACAAGTATAAAACTATTCGTAATTGTAATTTTTTGTAATCAGAGATGTACATGAAGGAGACAAAAGGAAATTATAATGTGAATAATAATAATAATAATAATAATAATAATAATAATAATAATATAATGATATAATGATAATGATGATAATAACGATAATAATAATGATGATGATGATAATGATAATGATAATGATAATGATGATGATGAGGTTTATGATAAATAATCATTGTCATCATCATCATTTATAATTAAGAAAGTAATATTTTTTTCAGCATTAAAATTTTTACCTATGAATTTCGTTCCTTCGCTTTTACACAGGTATCCATGGAAATTTCAGTCAACTGGCAACAAGTGGAAGTGGTTCTTCATCTACTGAATTTGCTGAAGTTACGGTGGTACCAGTTGCCACAGCTGGACCATGCAATTCTCCATGCCGCACAATTTTTCCTTTTTTAATTCTTCTATTTTTTATGACATTTGTTGTTGCTGTGACACAAATGCCTCTGCTTATGATAGTGCTTAGGTAAGTCATATATTCAAAATTCTTTTCTTTGTACAAGATTGACCTTGTAAAAGATTTTTAAATAGAAAAATATGTCAGAAATTAAGTAGTTTAGATATGTGATTAGAATAGGAGTTACTAAAAAATTGATCTATTGAAACTCAATTTCTAAGCATTCATTTTACTAGGTTATTAATTTATTATGTAGGCTTGTAAAGTGTTTCATTGAAAATGGAATTAAAAGTGTATTTTAATAGAATAATATAACCTTTAAAATTAGGTGGATCAATACTTGGACAAAAGTGCATTTTTTTTTTTTTTTTGTGTTCTTATAAATGTCTCTAATTGCATCACTTTCCTGGAAAGCTGATCCAGCTCAAATTGCAAAGATATTATTTTTACAATCCTTCTGCTCATGAATCAGTTTTCCCCTCACTTCATCTACACAATTTGCAGGGTATAAAACTGACACATCTCTGTTGTTAAGAAAACTGATTCCATATAAACTCGAAAAACTTTTAGATAATCAGGACTAAGAAACTTTTAGTTAATTAGGATGTGACACTTTTTAGTAAGTCAAATAGATTGACACTTTAACAAGAATGTACAAAGAGAAAAAGTTGTTTAGAATAACATCAAAGGATGCAAGCAAGAAAGGATATACCATTCAATCTTATTATAAAACATCATATGGGGAAAAGTTACTGCAGTTCTACACGAGGCACAGAAATTGTTCTCGGACACGTTTTTGATCTGCAAAAGGATAATAAACCTTTTAAAAGGCTAAGATGGTCTCCCTAGTGTTTTTTTTTAATGCAAATCTTGTTCCTTCTACATTTTCTTCAATACTATTACAGGGGTTTTACTAGAAAAAACACTAACAATGACAATGACATTGTGTACAATTTAAGAGGCAGTAGAAGGTTTTGAAATCTTCCAACAACAGATATAATTTTTAAATGATATGTCCCTAAAATGGTTTCTTAAATGCAATTAATTTAGTAATAATATTTGAATTTTTTTCTGTTATTTATATCAGTTTCAATACTCAAAGAAAAAAAAATGTATAAATAAAAAAAATTAATTAATAAAATAATGACAAAAATAAATGAAGAAATGTGTTCATTGTAAATGCATCTAGTGTTACCCATTTTTAAAGTACTGAATAGAAAACTGCCATAAATCAAACTTTTTCTTTTTTAAATTAATAAGTTCCAATGTTATGCATTAAATATTGTTATATTTTTCATTATTTAATAAAACTTGCTCAAAGTAGAATCTCAAGACCAGAATTATTTTTAGTATTAGACAAGATTCTGCCTTATGTAGTGCAGTACTGTAGAATTTATGAGTGTTAGACCTGCAATTTATGTTCACATTAGACAAATTTCTGTATTAAACATGTTCTGCATCAAACAAGTTTCATTATTCTTTAGTAATACAATAAAAGTTAATCACTCTTCAGCATTCACTTTCTTCATTCATCAATAGTATCATTTCATTTTCCTTAACTAATATTTATTATTTTTCTTCATGGCTCAGTCTTTAAATGCATCGTCTCCAAATACTCATATTTTTGAATGTGACAGTTGTCCTCAGGGTTGTGGTATGCTTCTAATTGTTGAAAAATTGAGTATGAGAAGGATTATTGGAAAATATCTTGTCAAGTCTATCTGTATTTCAATTCTACTATGTAATCAGTGAAGTAGCTAAATTCTATGTTTTATTTTTGCAATGAATTATACTAATTGAACTATCTCTGTGTTGTAGATCTGTTGGTGAAGAAGAACGTTCCTTTGCACTTGGAATGCAATTTGTCATCTTCCGTCTGTTTGGTTATATTCCTGCCCCAATATTGTTTGGGAATTTAATTGATTCAACTTGCCTTTTATGGAAAAGTGCTTGTGGAGAAAGAGGAGGAAGATGTTTACTTTATGACATTGAACAGTTTCGATACAGGTTAATATTGAGTATAGAATTTTACTATATGACTGACTCTCAATTGTAAAGTTACTAAACTTTAGCAGGTTTAGTTCATCTCTTTGCTAATATTTAAGCATGTTTTGAGAACCCAAATATGAGAACCCACTGTTTATGGCCTTCAAATTCAGAAGAAGTTTTTGGATGATTAATGACATCCACATATCAAAAGGCAATATGAAATGGTTGAATGTATGTCAAGTATAGCTATTTCTTGTAAAATGATATCTGTATCAATTCCATTGTGAATCAATGAGTGTGTTTAATTTAATCAAACATTTTGTTGTTTTCAGTATGTTTTTCCTAACAAAATTCTTCAATAATTTAGTGTTTTCTCTTTGTCAAGAAATTGCAAGTGAATATCAAGCTTGTCTTATTTTAAATTTAATTTTTCATATACTCTTTATCAATGTTACTTCTTGAAAATTTCAGAAGTTATTGCTGAATTTTTGGCAATATTTGGGGAAAATATTAGTATTTTATTTCAAAAACAGTGTTGAAAAAAATCATTTTTAAAATTAGTGTGCTTTTAATATTCTCATTTTAATGGAGTTTCCAGAAACTTCATTCTTTGTCACATTCAAAATTTTATAAATATACACTTTCTTATTCTATTTTTTCTGAAAATGTTTACAAATATCATTAAGTTAAGCAAGTATGTATGAAATATATACTAATATAATGATCTTCTCTTCTAGATACGTTGGCATCTGTGCTGGAATAAAGATTCTGGCACTTGCCTTATTTCTTGTCGATTGGTGGTTTGTTCGGCGACGAAGGCAACTGGAAGAGCAGGCTGCTCTGACAGTCAATGACTTAGTGGGTTCAATTATTAGTCTTGATAAATGTAAGTGAAAATAATCAATCTTTTTAATATAAAATATGTAAATAGTGTACTTGTTTGTGCCCATAATAAGACATTAACACTTTTTTATGTAACATTCCTGTTTTTGAGTCAGAAATTTAAATTTAGATTTCAGATTTGGTTTTTGATAACAACACGTTTTATTTGTGATTTCATTTTTGAAATGGTTTTCTTGCCTTTAATTATATAATTTTGAAATTAGTTAATATGTCATAGAACTTCCATTAATACATTTTTTGCCAACTTCTACACCTACGCCATTCACGGCAGAAGATGTTGAGTTTCTAAAGAAGTTCTTGGGCTCAATTTTCAAGAGATAAGAAAGAAAATGGACTATTTTTTTAGGGATTTGATAAAACAAAAAAAAATAATTATCTTTTAGTGATACTATGCCTGAATACTTGGACATTACATTGTTATTTCCACTAGACTTACTTTCCAAAATATGAACCCTGCATAAGAAGAACAAAATTATGAAATTATTTTTAAAATACCAAAACTGGAACTGAAACCATTTCATTCAGTTCCAGCAATATATTTAATAAATGAATAAATGTTTTAATTTTACTCTTTAAATTTAGCCTGTTTATCCATTGTAAATGGAATTTGTTGCATATGTTGTAAATGGAATCTCTACCTAACTTCTTAAGCTGTAGAGATAAGCCATCTAGTGAATATGACGCAAAACATCAAATTTTTGCTTCCTGTCTTGGACCTGATCTTGTATCTAAGATTTCTATTAATGGAGGGGAGAATTGAATTCAACAGAGTAAGAGATAGTTACTTAGTTTCCATGAAAGAGGCTGTTGTGACCAGAGTGGAAAGTTGTTATATCGTGCTCATTCAAAGAAATTGGTTAGTCTTAGATTCCACAACAATGAGGTTACAAAGGAATTACTTTCAGGAAAATTGTTTGTCTTCCTTTGGATTTTCACAGCCATCGGCCTGTAAGTCATTACCAAAGGCTTAAGACACTAGAGATGTCATTTCATAATATATAATAAATTTATAAGAAAAATAATATGTTCATTGTGTCCTTCAGTTATAGTGCCTGGCACTGCTGCTAAATTTAAAGACTTAATTTTTGACATGTTTGGACATCAAACCCACTCAGTTGTTATTAACAACTAACACAATTTTACAAAGTTACAATCTAACACAATTTTATTGAGATATTCAAATTTCTGATATTAAGGATGTTCATTGGCCTTTACTGAGTGGACACATGACTACAATTTGACAAGTTTACTGAAAGAATATTTTAGTGTAGAATAAACTCCTATTCTTCTATTAGAAAATGGTTTGTTTTGTATTCTGCTAATCTTTAAAGGCCCCATTTGTTTAAAAGACCTGGCTGGGTTAGTTAGCCGAATTGCTTAACTGCACTCTGTGAAGTCACTGAAGTTAAACAATTTGAGATACCACAGGTAATGATCTAAGAACCATGGTTTCTAATGGCGCTGAGCCCCTGGCTGAAGATATAAAAGACACTGCCTGACTGCAAATTGATGAGAGAAAAAGATAAAATAAATTAACAGAGGAATATTTTGCATAGGCTCAATGCCCAAGAAGGGCTGAAAGATGTGTTGCACAACAAAAGACACAACAAAATAAAATTGAAAAACAAAACAAAACAACAACAAGAGGTATTACATATTTATTCTAAAACCTTTAGAGTCCCTTTTCTGAGATTTCAGTTTTAGTGTACCATCTTGTATTTAAAAACCTCCTTGAAGAACAATTCTTCCCAGAATGCAATGAAACTTTCAGGAATTATAGTAAAATAAACAAGTAAGAACATGTACTGCTCAAGGATACTTTCTGTAGGTTGAACTGAAGGAGAATTTCCTATCTTTGAAAATTATCTTAATTGACTTCTATAAAATTCTGACATTAATAACACATAACACAAAACAATTCTTTACATCAAATCACATGTATTTGTTCAGGCGAAGTAAAAAATGTTGTAAGAAAAAGTAAAAATTGTTGTGCATGGAACTTTTTGTATTAATAAAAAAATTAATAATGGTATTAGTTACAAAAATTTGGACCTATCATTGTTGTTTAAACATTGCATAATGTATCATACGTTAATGAATCTTCAGTAAAAATTTGGTTTACGTATGTATAAAAACATAAAGTGGAAAATTTCAGTCATGGGTCCCCTTAAGAGTCCTTACTGAACTGTGAATCAGAGTTATTTATTTTATCTTTTAAAATTATAGAGGCTTCATATTAGAATGATAATAGAATGAAATATTTCCTTTTGCAGTGTTCGAAGAGCGTCCAGCTACTAGTCACCATGCAGATGTCAAAACACTTGCCATTGGATCATCGTTTCCTCCATCAGAGCAACCCACTCCATCATCTGATTCATCTGCAGATGTGTTAAGTTCCCGAATTCCACCCGTGGCCACACAGACATTAGATTTACACCACCATGACACTGATAATGATTCGAAGATATCTCCGTCATCTGAGACTCATTCTGATGCCAGTGTCACAGAACCAGCAAAAGAACTACAAGATGTGAATATACATCAATAGAAGCTTTAAATAGTGAAAGTGATTATTGAATAAACGATATAAAAGTTAAAAATATTTAATACAGAAATATATTTTATTGACTCAAGTGAATTTTGACATTTTTATTTAAGAAATAAAGTGCACAGATTTAAAGTATTCTTTTTTTTAAAATAAATTGCACTGTTATTTTTGTCAATGACAAATCTAATCAGAGAAAGAAACTCTTGTTTGCTACCATAATTTTCAGTTAGCGTGAATGAAATGCATGATAGCATATAGCATCACCAGTGACCAGCAAAAGTATCTTGGCTTCAAATTTCAGCTTCAAAAGAACTGTGCTTCATAACTTCAAAACATTTCTGACAGAAAATGAAACTTGATGCCTGCCTTATATAAAGTAGCAAATATTACTTCATAGTAACATAGACATGGTAGTGTCTTATGGAGAATGATCATACACAGAGACCACGGTTTTTGGAGTACAGCTAAATAACCACACACATCCAAGTTGCTTCCAATTCAAGCTTATACCAAACAATTTATATTTAATGGCTTGCAACTTAACAAGAAGATTAATTCTTATGTTTAATATCGAGGGATATAATTCAGAATTTCTTTATTTATTTTTACTTTGTACTGGACTGTAACAGCCTTCTTTTGTGAAATTTCGGTCATTGGTATTTTGTGTGCACAACTATCCAATTCAAGAGAAGTAAAGAAATTGTTGATCTCTGATTTGTAAGTCAATTGTATCTTCAAAGACGTGCTGTGAAGTGATAAAGTGATTTGTGGTGAGCAGTTACTGTTGGGATTGAGAGATGAGAAACTTTCATAGTGTCCTTAGTAATTATATTTATAGTAATTTCTCCAAAATTGGAGAATCATCACAATGCAAAGATATAAAGTGAGCTGTGTATTAATAAATAGTTATGTTATGCTCTATTTTTCTGTAGTTATGTTTGATTCAATTTCTGTTTTCAGAAAGTTAATGGTTTCTTGGACAAAAGTTCTCTGTGATCATTTTCAAAATGTATTATTATACAACTGCATATACTTTGGGAAATGTGATATCTGACTTATGGTGGTACTTACCTCAAAAATATTTGCTGTGGTTGGAACTTAATATTTTCATTTCTAAATTGACAATAAAAATTTGGCTGCTTAACATCTAAATGGGCCCTGTGTCATTCAACTCTTGAAATAGAGAGTGACTACTATTGATGAGTACTGTTCCAAATTTCATGAAAATAATTTTGTTCCGTTTCATGGTGGATAAGAATGAGGACCAACTGACCATTTTAAATGGCTATAAAAAGGAACTTGCACATTACAAACATGAAAGAACAAGTTTTCCACCTTTTCAGTGTATTGTCAAAGTAAATTTTAGTTGTATACTAATGATTAAGTGATGTGTACACACACATGCAACATTTCCTTATGAGACCGTGGAATATTGTGCACATCTAAATTGTTCACTTTTAGATTTTCAATTCTTTCATTGTAAAAGCATTGCTAACAACTTCCACTTCATAAAACTTCAGGGAATGCAAAATTATTCCGTATGTCAAAATTTAGAGAGAGGTTTATGACACTCGAAGCAGACTTCACTGCTTTCACATTTGATTCATATTTCTCTTTAGACAGCACAATGTATTACAGCACTTAAAGTCTAATGATATATATTAGGCACAGGCCTCACTATTGGCTGTGAAAATTTCAGTTACACAAATTATATTGCCATTATGTTGTCGGAAGACTATTAGAGTAAATATACCATAGTTTCCATGGTAGATGTATTCAATCCAAGTTTCAATATATTTCTTGTTTATTCACCTTACAAGAGATAGGTTTAGAATTAAACAAGTAAGTAGATTTGGGGGGAAACCAAATATACACACCTAGTTGTCTTTAGTGAAATTCACATTACAACTAATGGTTGTGTGTATACCTTAACTCCAGAGCTGATGTGCACAGGTTTGCACCAAGTCTGAGGCCTTAATTCAGCAATGTTAATAAATGTTGGCCTATCTTTTGATGTTAAGCAGAGTTTTTATGGCTGTGGAATCAAAAGATACTTTATTTGTAGCAAGTTTTTAATGCTTAAGTTTCTTAATATATTCTGAAGGCATAACGCGCTATAGAATATATTTTAGTACAGAGAGCATTTTTAATAAATGAAAAAAATTGACAATTTGTTAGCTATGTTTGGATTTGCCATTTGTGACACTTCAGGGATGTACCAGTATTTGAAATTGGTCCTTTCAACAATAGTTGTTTCCTTGTAGTACATATGATTGTTTTCTTTGAAGAGAGAATTCTTACAAACCACCACTGAGAAGTGTGTTAAATCAATCAGTCATGACCGTGCAGCATTACTATGAGTTCAAATACATGACTATAATATTGATTAGTTCTTAAGCTTTTCATGGTGACCTGTCATCAGTAAGCTTTTTAATCTATTGCTTGATACATTTTCATAATATTGAACTAGATTTACAGTCTCTAGTAGATTTGGAATCACTAAATTGATTTGTTCTGTAGTGTAGATAAATTTTGACACTCAAGAAAAAAAATTATATTTTTCTTTTGATAAGCAATCGGTAATTATAACCTTTAGATAATGAAAATGTGGTTAATAAGTACTATACGATCAAAGATTATAGAAATGTATTGTGACTGGTCAAGTTTGTTAAGATGGATGTAGCCAGATATAGTGATTGATATACCTAAAAACTGCATACTATGAAAGAGAAAGATCTCTGAGGATTTTGTTTCCTAAATTTATTGTCTGTAAGACTCTTTTTACTGCAAATTTAAACAGAATAAGTCATGCCGGCATGACTGCTGCTCTAAAATAAAATATTTCACTCATACATATTTTAAATTAAAAATTATCATTACTATTTTTTATATCAAGAAACAAAGACGTTTTGTATCAAATACGTAAAATTTACCATTGAATGCAAGATAAATATAAATCAATATCTGCTTAAATGATATTGTAAATTTTTCTTTTCTCTAAATGACTAATAATAGTACTAATTCTTCCTGACTGTGATATTAACTGAACATAAAAGGTTAAGGTAATATCTGCAAACTGCAATTCTGTTTTGCAAGCAATTTTGCCTTAACAATGAAGTTAATTATTTGATCAATTCTTGATATCGCTATGAAAATTTGTACCCAACACAAGTTTCAAACATGAAAAGGAAGTGTCTTACAGGTATTCTTTTACCACAGACATTGTTATGTTTTCAGTTCAACTTTATCTTTGCATCGTTCTCATCTAAAAACTTGTGGAAGCGTATGCTGACACATTTTATTGCTGTTTCTCTCTCATAGTAATAAAACAAATAGTTTTGTTCATCATTTTAAATATTAATGAGAAATATTTTTGTAATAATTTGAAAATAAGAAGCTCAAGGAAACGATCTTGAAGCAGATATGATCAGAATAAATTTCCAATTATTTCATTGTTCTGTTAACAGGAAAACTTTCATAATTATTGTTGTTTCCAGCACCTGCCAATCTGAAGAAGCACAATCATTATAAACAATTTGAAATTTCATAATGTTACATAACACATGTACTGCATGCCTCCATGTTTCAAGTGAATGAATTATTCAGTATGATATTGTAGTGAGGAATTTGTTACATTACACAAGTAAGTGTTTGATTAAACTGTGATGCGTAGATGTACTGGATAGAAAAAAAAATATATTGGTTGTTTGAGTATGTCATCAGAATAAATGAAGAATTGAATAAGCTATGGAAATAAACATTATTTTATTATTACTCATTTTGAACTTTTAATATACTTCCATAAGCCTTTGATATGTTTTTTGAGTTTTGGTCATTAATAATTGCAGATTAAAAATATTTCATTTTAAATTAAAACATACAAGAGTTTTAATTCTATAAAATTATTTGCTGTTTGTGAGAATATCTCTCTTCTTGATATAGAAGGAATGAACACTGAATGAAATATTAGATAACTATTTGAAGATTTACATCCTGAAATAATTTTTAAACATATAATTTTGTCCCAAAACATTCCACAGTCGGTCTTAAACTCTTATCTTAATAAAAAAAGTGCTTATGAATTACTAACTGTCTCTTAGATTCTTACTCTTATTAACATAAAGGATTTTAAATTCAAGTAAATTTTCTTGGAACTGCAATTCAAATAAGTTAATTAAATACTATTTTTTCCTTCTATCTCATGATTCGTGAGTTAAAAGATGAATGAGTTATTTAAATGGCTCCTTTTAAATTTGTAGTTTTATCAATATTAATTTGACTTGCTTTCAGAAAGTAACTTAAAATGCTGAAGATGAAATATGTGAACCATTTAGAATTATTATATCTGTATTAATTATGTACATTATTTCAACATGAATGTAATTTTTTTGGCAGAATTTGACAAAATACATAGTCATAGTTTCAATGAAGCACTTCATGAAATATAAAAAAATTTTGCAAGTTATAAATGTATTATCATTTGTTCCAAGTTAACTTACAGAAGTTATACAAATAAGAAAGAGACCTTTTGACATTTAAAATTTTGCCTAAAATAATTTAAGAAAGGTTTCAATGTTAGTCTTCAAGATGTTAAGGAGTAAAGAAAGGTCCTTTGATTCTTCCTACAATAAGCTCATCAGATGAAAAGAAATTTATGGCAAGTATAATTGAATAAAAAACATATTTCTAATCAGAAATTATTTCAACTGTTACATACTACTTAATTATCGAAAAAAAAGATCTTTTGTCATGAAAGGTGTCAAGGCAACTTAATGATATGATACTGCATACTCCATCCATCCAAAACAGAGATTTTAGCCTCTCTTCTCCCTAAATAATAACCCACACCAGATATAGATATAGGCTACTTGTGTGTATATGGAAAGCAGGAGGAAGTGTACAGTAACACTGGGATATGACTGGTCAAACAAATTTGCTTTTCCTCTGTCTTACAAAAATTACAGTAAGGATTTCACTTGCCCTGACCCCTTCAATTAAATCCTAGAGAACTCTGAACTTAATGAAAGTTAGGAAGCAATAAATATCTCATCTCAGATACCATTTGTGCAGCAAAGGATAAAAATACAGTTTATCACTGAATGAAATACATTAGATCACTGAATGAAATTAAACTCTTGCATATTATTTTAAATTTTGTTACTCTAAACATACAATTAGTCAAAGTATTTCGTTATAAATATGAACTTATCATTCAGAAACATCAATTTTCATACCAAAAATTAAATGACAATATTAAGTGAGCAAATTGGGTTATAGAGTGTGGGGTAGACAACAGTTGTTGAAATTACTGATAAAAATATGTCTTGCACTCAACTAACTGCTTGCTCTATCATTCCGGAAGCACAAATATATGTGAATATCTATATTCTTTGAAACTTTTAGTCTTGTGAACAATCCCACTTCCTTTTCCAACACATAAAAATTGAAAACTAGAACATTTTACATTTTATAATGCAAGCATTCAGTGTGCATTGCCTCTATAAACCATCACAATCTACAACAAACTCTGCAAAGGAACATTTTGATTAAGATGTGTGCCATATTGTACATAACTTATTTGTAAAGCTTGATTTAAGATTGAAAAGGTTGGTTTCCTATTGAATGTGAAGTAGCAAAATCAATACTGTGATGATTTAAAAGAAAGTGCTGCTTTGTGTTCATTAAGCTTATTATCATAAGATATTTGAGCGAGAATAATGAATTCCAAGACAATAGTACAGCTCTTATAAACAATTTTGAGTTGCATCAGTAAAAATATGATTTGTTACTGGGGCCTTGTAATTGTGTACTTTAAAATTTCTTCTTTGTGATCTGCAAAAGTAATGTACACTGCAATTCAAATGCAGTTATGTTATATTTATGGCATATTATGTGGCAAGAATAAAAGTGTTTTTATTTTCATGAAAAGTTCAGATTTTTCTTTTCTTTTTTTCTTCTTCTTGTGATTTAATTTGTAACACACTAGAATGCAATATAATACTGCAAATAATTTTGACATATTAAAATTATTTATAGTTTTCCAAAAATTTTCAGATAAGTAGTATAGTACCTCTTGAGAGTTAGGAGACTTTTTGCACATCTGAAAGTGGTTTACTGTCACAGAGAAAATTTAGTAGAACTTGTTGTTACAGGTTATCATTATTTTAACAAAAAACGACTTCATTCAGATACGTTTAACTACTTTTAAATTTAGCAATGACTAAAGACAAATATAGTACGAGTCTCTCATTAAGTGGACATTAAATAAAGGCAGATTATCATAGTCTACAGAGTTGTCCCAATTGTGAATACAGGAAAACTGAGGAATCTATTCTGTTTATAATACCAGGCAGATCCTGAAATTACTTGAAATTCTCATTAGTTAAGTACGACAAAATGGATGACAATTATATAACTATAACAACTTACTAATAATTAAAATAGTAAGGCATGTAAAAAATAGATGGGAATAAAATAAATTAAGAAATTTACAAATACCAGTTCGTCACAATTTATAAATTTACAAATTTATAAAGTGTAACAAACTGGTATTTGTCTTTACAATTCTCTTCCAATATTGCTCACAAATTAGATCTTCACTTTTTCAATTTGTTGGTTATCCATGTAATTAATAAAATCTAAATGTTTTGTTTAAAGAAAAAATTGCCATTCAAAGCTGAGGGGAAAAAATGTGTTTTTGCTGATGGCCCACGTGAGGATGTGAATATGAGTTAATAATGATTTAGGCATATTATTCAAAATATTTATATATGTATATATGTATATATGTATATATATATATATATATATATATATATATATATATATATATATATATATATATATATATATAATGTATATATGTGTGTGTGTTAATATTTTAAAAAACGCAGTGTAAAATAAATCCCAATTCGATAAAATGGGTTTAAATGGTTAATATTAACATGGTTATAGCATAAAGAACTCTGTGAACAGAAAATACGTCTTTCCAAACACTCAATTTATTGAAAAAACACCCAATTATTATTGAAAATGACGCGGTTCTTCTCAGGAAAGCTGTTTGTGAATTTTAGTGGGGAGCTCCGCCAATCGTATAGCTCTACACGATGTGCTCGTGACGTCATGACCACCTCCCTGTTATCCTTTTCCGCCTCCATCTTGCCTGCCGAGGCAATAGAGCTCGCAGTTACTAGTTGGTGGTCGAGCTAGGAGGTTGAAGTGCTGAATCTCCTTACAACGGGTTTTGCGGTTTTCCCGTTTAATCCGTCTTCAATGTGTATGGCTCTTGTGGTAAGTATTTCTGAAACAGTTCACGTATTTAGTTCGTAGGCCATTTTGCAGCTTTGAATTTCATCGGAGGGGGTGTATACATCACTTGATGTCTTGTTGGTTCGAGCCTTGAAGCTAATACAAAAATATGGTATTTGGTATTGGAAACGATTTTGAGAGTTTATTAATAGACTTGTTCTTAAAGTTATTAAAATTGACGAATCCTTTCATTGTGAAGATGGAAACTGGGTGCTCTAGTAATTCTTACGCTTGTAATTTGTTAATTAAACTGAAAGATTAACTCGGCATTGTTCTATTAATAAAGTTTTGTTGTGAACAACTTCGGGAAGAACACAGTATTTACCTTATACAAGAACTGTTGTGTAGATTGTGTAGGCCTAACCTATGAAACGTGCTTTGTTTCTTCTGTCCCTTGAGCTTGTTCTGAAAGGGTCTGGTGGTGTACGGGGTCAACACACTTAGGGAGGTGTGCGAGAGTGTATGTGACTGAAACATTTGTGCTTACTCCCCCACAAAACCGTAGAAGAAAAGCATCTGCTGGCAGAGCGAGTCAGGTTAAAAGAGATAGCTGATAAGTTGAGTGGACAAGGACGAGCGAATACTCTGGAAGGAACTTTCACCACATGAAAACCTCTGCACATCTGGAAACAATGCCTCGTACACTAGTCATGTAATAGTGCTTCGTTAATATAAACCGTAAATTACTACAGGGGGTTATTTCGGTACGCGCATAGGTTTGTTTAGATTTGTAGATGAAAGGTTCTAGGCCGTCGCGCGCGTCCGTAGTTTAGAGTACTGTTGCGAGACGCGTGCTGACGTGCAGGCGCGTCTCAGATGGCCTTGCTATTGTTGGCAATGGTTTGCCCGCTAGGAATAGAAGCGCGCGTGTGTGTGTCTACACGGATCTCGTGATCTCTCTCTACGGTCAGCAGGGGACGAGTCTCGGTGCGCATTGTTCGCAGCGAGTTTGTTTAGGAAGCGTGTCTGTGATGTTGCCCGCGGGCGTTTGTGGAAGCGGGAGGTAGTGTCGCCGAGCCGCACTGACAGCAGGCACGTGTTAAGCAGGTGTGTGCTTATAAGCTGCTGCCGTCACTGCTTCAGCCGCCTTTTGGGTGCGCGGCTTGATCGTCCGCTGTTCTCGGCAGCGGGCGTTGGGTTGTGCTCACTTGCGATATTTCAGGTTTATTAAGCAGTTATTCGAATGTAATGAAATAGTACATTTATATCAATGTAGTTTACATTTTTTTATTTATGCGTCACGTAACTAGTGTTATAACTTGAATTACTTTTATAATAGGGTGCTGGAACAGTCTATACACTTTCCAAAACGAAAGTAGTATTTACAAAAGGTATTTTGGTTGCAACTACTTCTGCTTGCCCGATAACTCAAATAATGCGATCTTGCATTAACAAGTTTGCATAAGTTTTGTTTCGGCGCGTGGATGTCCCGCCTCATTTGTTGACGGTACCTCTGTGGGAATTGACAGGTGTGGGGGCGGTTCACGGTTCGAACAGTTTCGAAGGGGGGGCGCAGGTAGCCAACACGTTAGGCATTTGGGACATCGTTGCCGAAGATGTGTGTGTGTGCAATAAATTTAGTTTCTGTGATCACCGTTAAATATTTCTGGCGTCTGTCAAATTACGCGTTTAACTGTAGTCTGTATAGAAGCTATGCGCATAATGCTTTGATGTTTAACGATTAAGATAAAAATGTGAATTATTAAAATTTTACAAAAAATTACCTTTCTCTACATTTTTTCTATGCTTTGACGAAGTACTGGCAAGGTTTTCATTGTTCAAGCTTTATTGGTGCATTATACACACATATTGATATTTTATATTGACATTGTTGCATTAGAATTACAGTATTTAGTATATAGGATGGCTTATTTATCTTGTATTGGAGTACTCAGATTTGGCGATATAATGCAGTTGCCGCAAATTTATCCACTTCTTTTGAGCGATCAATGTTTTGTCAGTTGATTTGATTTTTTCCCCCCTCGCGCTCATGAGACCAACATGATTGGGTAAATAAAGTAGAAACTTCAATTGACTGTAGTGTAGCAAAGTACTGTGTAGTAAATCGGTTTCGTCTTTCGAAGAATGAAATAAGACATTTCTATGTATGTCTCACGTTCCTGTATGAAGGGTAATTGGTTTCATAATTTTTACACAATTTAGCACAATTAGTTCAGATCAACCGATATGACCTGTGAAAAATTAAATAGATCCCTCCAATTTATAGTCGCATCAACACTGAATTTTATTAACTAGTCTTTAGGATTACAATAAAATGTATTTTCTGTACGTGGTGACGTCTTGGTTACCCTTTCATTACCTACTGTTTACACTTTCACATTTTGTACATATATTCTACTATTAAGTCTAAGTATATTAGGGGTTGTATTTATAACTTTTGAGTAAGAGGTTATTAATTGTATTGCAGATAATTAAATCTAATGCGTTTCCCTTTGCAACCACTTTTTTATTGCAGATCTAAGTTATTTATAACTAATTATCAGCCTTATGTCGGCCAATTAGGTTCCTGTAGAAGGCATTGTTTAAAAATGGAATGAACACTAGAACAAGTAGTTGTGGAGTCGTATACGCTGCCCAGCCTTGATATGGTAAAATGAACGCTTTGATTATAACTGAAAATATCCTGGAGAATTCTAGGGATAAAAATGTACATAGACGCACATGTTAGAGAACATCGTTTTAGTTCGGGAATACAATGCGCATCCAGATTTTTAGTGATGGAAAGAGCGCGCTTTGCATTCGAAAATATACGGTACCCATTTGATAGCCATTGACACGTGAACGATTTGAGTAATTTAGTCTATCTTTTACACGCAGATAAGATAGTTGCATTGAAGCGCTCTGATTTGCATTGTGACCGGCGCTTTTACCAGCCACTCCATGTAGCGTTTGGAGCCGGTCCATCGCCGGCTGATGTGCGCCGCTCCGCAGCCGCGTGCGCACGCGCTCTTCCCAGAAGGCGCGAGGAAAAGGCCGCCTCCGTGGCTCTAACGCGCTCCGAATTGGTAATGCCTTCGGCGGATATGATAATGGGCCTCGGCGCGGCGGCGGCGGGCTCCGGAGCACAGCGCAGCACGCTGAATAGAACGACGCGGCGGAGACTCTCAGCCTGCCCTGCTCTGCCGAGGGCGCTTTTGAGATGCGAATCCCTGTTTGCGGATTTTGGGCGAAATGAAGTGTGCCCGAAGTCTCGAAAATAAAGTGGAAGTCGGTGGGGGTGTGTGTGCTTAAGGGTTAATGCGTATGTATGAACTGGGAATATAAAGTAAATTTCGAAGTTTCTTGGGTTTGACGGCAAAATGGCGATGTTCGTCTTAGTTTGAAGGAGAACTTCCTCGAATGACTACGTGGATTCGATGTTTGTTTTTCGTGATATGAAATCATATCGCATTGACTTGCATCTGGGTGACTGTCACGTGGCGTGTCTTCGGGCGTTACGCAAAATTAATCTCTGTACGCAGCAAGCGTGTTAGGGTATTCTACTTTCCCGTTACTAATTTTTTTATTTAATGTCTTAAAACGTCGTGCACGAATAATGTAAAATTACTTGAAAGGAGTGCTTGTGTGTTTTACCTTGTTTGGTACTGAACACTTATTTGAGGTAAG